TCTCTCTCTCTCTCTCTCTCTCTCTCTCTCTCTCTCTCTGTGTCTCAGCTCCTCCCCTCTCCTCCCTCGGCCCCACCCCCATCTCCCTCGGGCCCCAGCCCTCCTCTCACCTACCTGGACTCCTTGACATCCTGCCCCGTCCGTGGGATGGAGAGCCCAGCAGACGTGTCCCCCCGCCCCTCCCTGGGGCTGCACCGCGGCCATGTCCGAGTGGCCCTCTAAAGCTGCGTCGTCTCCTCCCCGCTTTGGACCCCGGGGTTCAAGGGCAGTGATGCCTCAGTGTTAGCTCCTGGCCAGGGTCCATCCTTTGCTGCAGGGAAGCTTGGGGCCTCTCGGATCTCGGCCTGACTCCGCAAGGCTGCTCTGTGTCCCTCCCCTTCTCTCCTGAGGACACGTGCCCTAATCCAGGACGGTCTCCCCTCCCGATCCCTGATTCAATCACGTCTGCAGAGACCCTATTCCAGATAAGGTCCAGGCCCAGATGCTGGACATTAGGACATGGACAGGCTCTTCCGGGCCTACCTAGCCCACGACACTGCCCTGTTCCCGTAGGGCACGGCTTTGCAAATAGTCCTGCACCAAACCTTCCTGCAGTTGCTCTGCTTGGGGCCTTCTGCTTCTTGTTGCTGTCCCCTTGGATCATTTCAGAGCAAGTCGCCTTGGTCCTTCTGTGACCTCTGGGTGCGGCAGAAGGGACAGCAGCATCTCTCCTGCCGGTGTGGCTTGTGGCCCAGAAGTGCTGGCCTGGCTTGTCTTGTTGTCGTTTTTAGTAAGTTCTACGCCCGATGTGGGGCTTGAACTCAAGACCCTGAGATCGAGTCACATGCTCTGCTGACTGAGCCGGCCGGGCCCCAACGCCTGTTTCATTTTGATGGCTGAAGTTCTCTCCAAAGTAACGGGAGGTCCCACAGCCCAGTGTGGGCTGCAGGGTGGGTCTCACCAGCGCAGCCTTGCCTGACCGTGCCTGAGAGCTGCCCTCTTGTCTCGTTCAGCCGCACAGTGGCCGCACGTCCCCCTGTGTAGAGGATCTGTGGGGAGTGGGGGCATTCAGGAAAAGGAGGAAATCCTGGTCAGTTGCAATCGTAGGTTATTGCTGTTTCCGAAAGGCCGGGGGCCCCCGGGTGCTCCTGTAGGTTCTCGGTGCCCTTGGGAGTTCAGCTTAGGGAGGGAGGGGGAACCACGAGAGTCAGGTCAGATGCTCCCTCTCCAGGCAGTGGGAGGTGGCCGAGGTTTGGGGCAGCCACCAGGCTCTGGGTCCCTGGGGAGCAGGTCTGTGCACCCAGCTCTGTAACAAGCTCTTCTCTCCGCAGACGCTTGAGACTGCCGGCTACGTGAAGAGTGTGCTAGTAAGTAACTTCCACGTTCACCCCAGGTTCCCAGCACATTTGTCCCTGGAACCTCTCCTGCTGGTGGCTCCTTCTAGTCCAGACAGGGCAGCCGTGCCAACGCAGGCTACCTGCCCCAAGACTTTGCAGTGGGGACCAAGGGTGCCCATTCGTTAGGGTCAGATAGATGCCCCACGTGGCCATCGGGGATGCCCACAGGAGCCAGCACCCAGCTTTGCCCATTCTTCAGGGATGGCTGGCGACCTTGGAGCGCTCAACCCCACCACGGGTTTCCTCCTTGCTGGTGTGGTCCAGCAGTCGAAGCGTGGCTGGTACATGGTCAGGGTCATGGAAATGCAGCTCAGCTCCCTGGGGAGTCACGGGTTTTTGGTCTCCTCCCATGTCTGCAGGGTCTGTCTCCAACCGTGTGGGGAGGGCATTTCCCCAGACATCTGCTCAGAGAGCACGGAGCAGGGCTGGGCTCGGGCCCTTCTGGGTTCCTGTTTTTGTGTGTGTTCTGCTCAGAGCCTGCGCCCCGGCCACACGCCGTGAAGGAGGCTGGAGCACTGAGCAGGCTGTGGTCACGGCCCCCGACGTGGGCCAAGTGGAAGCCCCACTCCGTCTGCCCCTCCAGCTCCGTGACCACGCAGACAGCAGCCTGCCTAGAAACTGCCCTCCTGGTCCATTCCAGTGACCACGTGGGAACGCGAAGGGAGCTGCTCACCCCTCAGAAAACCTCTTCCGCTGGTTTTTGCAGGAGCGCGATAAGCTTTTAAGATATCGGAAGCAAAGAAAGAAAATGGCCAAACTCCCCAAGGTAAAGGAGACGATGCTGACCCAAGTGTGTTTTTAAAGCCGCTTAACACGAGGGAGTTTTTCTCTGGAGGTGAAAAGAAAATATTTACTATTTCTAAAAATTGTTACTGTACCATAACCAACACGAACCTCAAATCAATACTATTGTTTATAATTCTAAATTTAAAAGTCCTACCTTGTTGCTTTTAAATTTCCCAGGTAGCCCACGATTCATGACCGCAGGAAGGAGGGGATCGCCCCGACTCTGGCCTTCCCCTGCAGGCCTGGGAGTTAGAATTCCCAAGTGGCCACGGGGCTCCCAGGCCTGCCTCGCCACCGCCACCGCGTGGTCCCCTGTCACCACTGCAGGCTGCGGCGCCCACGGGGCCCCCTCCCAGGCAGACCTGCGCCCCCAGGGAGTCTGAAGCCCAATCCTTTTCCATAAATGTGTGTTTTTTATTAAAGGAGATTCCAGAGGTATTCCCAGAGAACGTTAACTTGTGCTCTGCTTTATGCAACATGAGTGTGTTTTCTTGGGCTTTTGAATGCTCAAGGGTAACTCCTCAGGCACGGACACTGGCCCATTTGGCCCCCAGAGTACTGGGGGCCCTCTCTCCTCGGGATTGTCGCAGAGCACTTAGAGATTTCCTGGGGGCCTGGGAGCCAGCGGGAGGAGGCCCACCCGCCCTCTCCACCTGGGCCCCCGCTGTCCCGTCGCTTCCAGGAGGCAGGAGTGGGGACGAGCCAGGCAGTTAGGATACAGGCCAGGAGCCACCCAGATGGGCTCAGCAGCCCAGGACAGGATGTTGGTTGACAAAGGTGTGGACCGTTGGCCACACGGCAAGGGGTGACCGTCATGAGCTGGACCATGAAGGGGTCCGGTGGGATTTCGGCACAAGAAGGACCCAGGAGGCTCCGGTGACTGTCGGGCCAGGAGTTCGGGAAAGTGTCAGGGACACAGCAGGAGGGACTTGGATAGAGAGAGAGTGGATGGTGGACATGGGGTGAGGAGGGGACACGAGTCCGTGTCTGGACTAACCCAATTCCTTTGGGTCAGAAGCCGGTTGTGGTGGAGACCTTCTTTGGGTACGATGAAGAGGCTTCCCTGGAGTCCGATGGCTCCTCCATCTCCTACCAGACGGACAGGACAGACCAGACCCCGTGTACGCCTGACGATGACCTGGAGGAGGTAGCCTCCCACGGGGGGTTCTGGACAGGATGGAGTGGGGCCTGGAGGCCAGGGGGATCAGGGTCGGGGGTCTGGATACATGGGGTTTTGCTGTGGGGCCTGCCCCCTGGAGCGGTGGGCTCCGTGGCCCTCCCAGGCTGTGCCCCTGCCCCCGTGGCCTGTGATTTCGCAGGGTGAGAAGTGCCTCCCGTTACCACCCTCCCTTCACAGGCCCCGGTCGGGTTTCAGCCCTCCGCTATGCTCCTGCCCCTCCACACGTGGGGACAGACGGCTCCCTGCCTCTCGGAGGGCTGCCCCAGGCTCTGGAGCACCCAGTAGGGGAGGCTGGCACCAAGGCCAAGGGCCAAGCCGAGAGGTACACGGGACAGATAGTGCAGAATAGTGTTGTCTTGGATAGACACACAGCCAGTCTGTCCTGCCCGCCAGTCCTTCTTCCAGAAGGAACGGCCCTTTGGTGCAGGCAGCCAGCTGAGTCCCACATGTGGGAAGAAGCTTGGTTTGTTCACACTGGCTTGGCCCCGGTGGCTGAAGGACAAGGAGTGGCCCTGAGAGGTCCCAGGGGACACTAAGGTCCCAGGTAGTGCCTCCCCGGGCAGATCAGGGCAGATGATCCCATGGCCGTGGACCCGCTTAGAGACCTCAGACATCGTTGTACAGCTACTGCCAACAGCCTTGGGGATAAGGAACACAGGGGGAGCTGCGGCCCGGTGAGGGCTCCTGGGCCTGGTCCCTCTCAGACACAACCGGCCTCCACAGCAGACCTAGGCCTTGTTCTCGGAGCAAGAGCTTTGGGGCCCGGGGGACCCTCAAAGGCAGCAGCCATCCCCTGTCTTCTCCCTGGGGCAGCAGGTGTCCTTGGAGCCAGAAGGAGGCATCTGGGAATCTGCGCAGGAGGGGGGGGTGGGGGAGGAGAGGCATTCCCGGGGCCAGGTCTCACCTGACACACTGGGGGGGCCAGGGGTGGGGAGGAGATGCATTCCCGGGGCCAGGTCTCACCTGACACACTTGGGGGGCCAGGCGGGGTCCCCACTGAGCCCCTGAGGCTCACCCTGGCCTCAGTGTAGCCAGCTGGGCCTTCCCCCCGGGGGGCTCCGGGCTCACCTCCCCGGGGCCCCCGCCACACTGCGTCTCTGTGCACCTGTGCAGGGCGTGGCCAAGGAGGAGACGGAGCTGCGGTTCCGGCAGCTGACCATGGAGTACCAGGCTCTGCAACGGGCCTACGCCTTGCTGCAGGAGCAGGTCGGAGGGACGCTGGATGCAGAGCGAGAAGTTAAGGTCTAACTGACTTCTACTCCACGATGTTCCGGCCCCCGCTGGGCTCCTCCCCGCTTGACCCCCGCCGTGGCAGGGACACCTGTGGCGCTTCACCTTCCAGGCTGATCCCTCTGCCCCGCGGCTCTTGCTGGGCCTGTGGGAGCTCCCGAGGCGACTGGGAACCAGCGTCTGCGCGGCAGCGCTGGGAGTCGGCCCGGCGGTGGGTGGGGCCTCCCCCAGAGCGGTCCCCGGCACAGGTGTGAGTGATGGTCCCCGGAGAGCCACGTGTGTCCCCTCTGCGGACCGTGGCTGGCGGGCAAGGGGAGGTCTGCTTCCTTTGAACCTGCCCGCAGCGCTCTTGGGGGGCTCCCCCAGAGCGGAGGCTCAGAGATGGGGAAGGGTCAGCATTTCTGCTCGGTTCTGGAAACCTGCGGTGGTCATTCACTCACCCCGTCTGCCTGAGCTCAGCTGCTGCGCTCACCTTGACCTGGGCCTCCCCAGACAGGCCCTGCTGGGAGCAGGTACGTGTCCCCCTCCTGCCCCTGCTTCCCTGAGCCCTGGGCCGGGCGCTCATGCCCGTCCACCCAAGGCAGGAACACGGGGCTGACAGGTGCCCTCGCTGGCCACCAGGGGAGGCCGTGGCAGGGGGCTGTGCCCTGTCTTCCCCTGAACCCCACCCCACGCTCCCTGACATGTGGCCTGCCGTGCCAGGGCTCCGAGGGGATGCCCTGCATAAGGAGGTCGGCTGCACCCTGCACACGGAAGGGGTCTCCTGCCCAGCTGCCCTGGCACCTGGGGCCCATCTCTGACCCCAGCCATATAGGGCACGGCGCCAGTCAGCTGGTTCCGAGACTCCAGCTGGCCGGCTGGGCTGGACTCTTGGAAGCAGGGCACGGTGTCAGTGGGGTCCCCTCTCATCCCCTCGCTGCCCGGATAGCCACTGGACCTACTCCCTGTGAGCAAACGGATCTCCCTCCAACATCCCTTGTGTCACGACGGCCCTAATAGGGAGGCCAGAGGAGGGGAGGGAGAGCCAGGGTCCGCTGATGTCTCCGAAGGGGACCCCAGGGCCAGGCCACGGGATACTCGGCCTCCTCAGCTCGAGGGACCCCTGACCCAGTGCCCAGCTGGCCCAGATGCTCTCATCTGCCCAGAGGTGTTCCCAGGGAACAGGGGCACCCATCGGAATGAAGGGCCCTGTGGCCCAGACCTCACGAGAGCAAATTAAGTCCGGGGGGATGGCCTAGACGGTCTGGGGCCTTGCCTGCCCCTGGGCAGCGGCGGGTGGGCTTCTGCGGGAGGCGGGGGAGGAGGGAGTCAGGTGCACGCGGGACTGGCAGAGGGCACCCGTGCGGGACAGGACAGGCCGAGCGCTGAGCCGTGTGTGTGTGTGTCCTTGCCGTTGGCCAGAGCCCAGGATGAGGCCCAGTGGCCAGTGCCCCGCAGGCCTCCACGGCCCTCCTCAGCCCTTTCATCCTGCCTACAGAGATGTCCCCGACAGTCCCTCAGAATGAGTCTGTAGGCGTCCCCATAACCCGAGAGAGTCCGCTCGCCACAAGCCTCCTGGTGCTTCCCTCCGCCCAGAGCCTTCCCTGCAAATGCCTGGACCGCCCCCTCTCCCTTAGCTGCGGGCGAGAGCCCACTGGAAGCCTCCAGCCCTGCGGGGCGTCCTGGCTGCGAGAGGAAGTTTGACGTATCCCTCCTCCCATCCTACAGACCCGTGAGCAGCTGCAAACAGAGGCGCAGAGAGCCCAGGCGCGGATAGAAGATCTGGAGCGGGCCCTGGCCGAGCGGGGGCAGGTGCGGCTCGAGCGGGGCCGGGTGCCCACCCACACGGAGGGTGCCCGAGGGACATGGGCGGTCCAAAGATGTATGGGGGGGCTGCACCTGGCAGACAGGCACCCCAGTAGGAAATGCAGACCCTGAAAGGAGCACAAATCCAAGGAAAGGCCCGGCATGCCTTGACGAGGGGCCTGGGTAGGCCCCGTCTCTCCCCACAGCTCGGGGCCAGGGCTGCCCCTGGAGACCGCTGGTCACTTCCTCACCCGTATGCCCATCGCCACCTCTGGGCTCTTCAAATCCTGAGAGAAGGTGTCTGTTGCCTGCCACCACGAGCTTCTGTCCTGCTGGACGACACAGCTCCAGGTGGACCCAGGAGGAGGCTGGAGGACGGCCGCATTGGGCCGGGAGAGTCTTCATGGGAAAGCACCTGGGTCACGATCAAGCCAGTGCAGACCCACGGTGGTCCTCGACGCATTCACCACTGGGTGGACGGCGAGAGGGACGAGAGGATGACCTGAGCAACATGGGGTCGTGTTGCCACACCCCGACCTGAGCGCGCATGGCCCCGGATTCCGCGCTGGGCACCTGTAAGCTGTTTACCCGAACCACGCAGGGCTGGCTTGCCCCGGGGCCCCGTGCGCTCCGGCTGCAGGAACCGTGCTCAGAGGCTGGGCTGAGCGCAGACTTCACGGACCCTGCCTGGACCTCGTGAGGTTGGCACCTGAGCCCCACAGCAGCCGTTCGTGCAGGAGAGCAGTGGCCGGGTAGCCGGGACATGAGCAGGAAGACAGTGTGGCTGCCTTTCAGTGGCCGACAGCCCTCCAACTTCCCAGATGACTTTGCCGAAGAACCTGGAAAGAAGGGGAGCGTGCGGGGCAGCGGGCCTTCCTCCTGACCCCTCGCCGAGGAGGCTGCTTGTGGGAGCATCGCAGCTTTTGGGGACACCTGACCTTGTGGCCGGGCGGGGGGGGGGGCGTCTATACACGTCTTTCACCAGAGCACAGAAGCCGGCAGGCAGGACACACCCTGAGGGTCCCAGGCTCCTGCTGGTTCTGTGTCAAGGTCCTTGGACCCAAGCCACCCATATGGCTCCACGTGCCCCTGGTGCCTGGCATGGGTGGGTGTGGGCTGGGAGTGCTGGCTGTGTGGTGGTGCGGGGTCCCACAGAAGCAGGGCTGCCTCCGTCTGCTCTCGTCCAGGCCCCTCCTGGGGAGATCGCAGGCTTTCGTTCGTGGCATGACAGGAGCCATAGGAGCGGTGGCCAGAAACCCGCTGCAGAGGCTGGGCGTTGCCTCCTCCACTCTGCTGAACCGTGGTTTAAATGTAGGCTTTGCACTGATTCTGCGGCATTAATTTCTCCAATTTAATTCCATTTTCAAGGACATGAAGTGGATTGAAGAGAAGCAGGCACTGTATCGAAGAAACCAAGAGCTTGTGGAGAAGGTGCGCCCCACGTCCCGAGAAAGCAGCGACCTCTACCCCGTGCTCCCGGGAACTCTCTTCCGGACAGAGGTCCTTGGAGGGTCCACAGAGGCGGTCCACACGCTGCTGTGTGTCTGGCCTCACCTGAGCTCTCCAGGCTGTGGCCCTGGCCGTCGGCTCTCCTGGCTTCCGGTTAACAGGAGGCCCTAAAAGGCCGTCAGCCCTGCACCCCATCCCCAGCTGGGGCTCTGTGGGCTGGAGGATTTTACATGATGGGCCGCAAAACACGGTGCCCACCGGCCTGCTCCCGCTAGTGGCCTGGGTTCTTGCCCAGAGCTGCCTCACTTGTCCTTCTCTGGGCCGGTGAGATGCCCATTCTGCACACAATCCCCCTCATTCAGCCCGATCTGGGGTGGGGGGGGCTCCTCAGATGACACCTGCACAGCTTGGGACGGTCCCCAATGGGTGGTGCCCCAGAGCTGCTGGCATGGGGACGGTCAGACCAAGGTGGGAGCTGGGCTCCGGTTCAGAGGCAGAAAGGTCACCGGGGTCATCGTCCTGCCCCGTCAGGGAGCCGCGTGCCGTCCTTCCCCACCAGCCATGGGCCTCGTCCTGGGCTGAGCACGGGCAGCCACAGCCCTTCTAGAGAAGAGCCAGGCCTGCTTGTCCTCCTGGGCCCAAGGGGCGCCACCGTGTCTATGCTCCGTGCAGACTGGCAGCTCCCAGCCAAGCCCCCACGCCACAGCCCAGTCCCACTGGGGGCTGTTAGGTCTAGATGGTGAAATGATGCCCACGTGCTTCCTGTGGACCGTCCACGGGTTCCTAAATCACGGCAGCTGTGCCTATGGTGCTCTCCTGCACACACGCACACTCGTGTAACGTTCATGGGCACACTCGTGTGTGCACAAACACATGCATACTTGAATGCTCACTTGTACGTATACCATGCCCATGAATGCTTCCATGTGCACAAAATACATGTGCACATAAATGCTTGCGTGCACACATGACCCTCACACGCATCTGCACACACGTTTGTGTACACGCATGACCCTCACACGCATCTCACATTCGTGTGCACACATGTTGCTCACATGCACACTTAAGCACTTCTGTGCACACATAGATACTCATGTGCATGTGCAAACACTGTGCACACTTGTAGTGCTCGGTGCATACTTTAAACCTGCGCCTCTCTCTGGCTACCACACGCACAGGGTCACATTCCAGTAGGCGCTGCCCACAGCCTTGGTTGTGCGTGACCCCGCGTGCCGTGGAAGGAACCTGCCTCCGATGGCACCTGGACGGATGCCGGGCCCTGATCCATCTCCAGCCACCCCTGAGCATCCCAGCAGGGCATTCAGCTCCCCAAATTCAGTTCAGGGGGCATGGGCCAGGCCATCCGGTCCAGTGGACGCCCTTGTGGTGTGCCCTTCCCTGCCCTCATGAGGCCTGGACACCTCAGCGGCACACCCTCGATGGCCCTTCTCTTCCCTGTCTCTGCTCAGATGGCTGGACTGGGCTCAGGGCCATCCCGGGGGCATCTACGGCTCCTCACCCCTCTACCGCTCCCTGTGCCCGCCCACCCTGATGAGCCAACTCCAGCTGGAGCGAGGGCTCTAGGCGCCCGGGTGGGTCGGCTGTCCCCACGGATGGCCGGAAGCTGTCAGGAAAGTCGGGAGGGGACCTCACGTAACCTCAATGTCTCATCTACCTTCTATTTTACAGATTAAACAAATGGAAATAGAAGAGGGTCGGTTAAAACACGAGGTTCAGGATGCAAGGGACCAAAACGAGCTACTGGAGTTCCGGATCCTGGAACTTGAGGTGCGCCGTGGGCGTGGGCACTGGGTGCGTGGGGCAGAGCTGCTGTGACGGAGGGAGGCGCTTGGCCTTCCTGACCTGGGCCCTTGCTCACGACCCCAAGGGGGTGGGTGGAAAGGAGGCACCTCTCCGAACAAGGGCCATGGAAGAAACCCCAGAATGAGCGAGATGTGAGTGTCCGCTTCCAGACCCATTGGGCTGCATGATGATGGCTGTGCCCCTGTGGGGCTGTGATGGTGGCCGTGGTACTGAGCGGGGACCACACCCCCGACCATGGTGGCCAGCTAGTGGACGCTGGCTCCTTGCTCATTTAAGTGGCCAAGTGTGGGTAGCTGGGGGCCACGCAGTGACCAGGTGCCCTTCTGGCTGTCCTGGCCCCTGTCCTCCTCTGTGACCTTGGCCTCCTGCAGAGGAGGAAGCGGGAGCCAGGCTCCCTCGGGAAGCATCCGGCCATACATACATGGACGGCCGTGCAGCTGCCATCACCTTCCACTGCACTCCTGGCCAGGAGGGCGTCTCTGAATCCAGAGGGCAGCTGGGGGATATGGTCCACCTGTGAGGACGTGCCCAGGGCTGGCATCTGCCCTGCTGGCTGTCCACATGACTCTGGGGCTGCCTCCTCAGTCCCAGCCACCTTCAGGACCCCCGGGGATGAGATGGTCATGAACCTTGTGGCAAGAGGGTGTGTGTGCATGTGTGTGCACACATGACCACCGCTTGGCCTCCGGGGCTCCTGCATGTGGCCTTGGGTCGGGGACAGCACTGCCAGCCACTGTCCTCAGAGCAACCAACCAGTTGCTCCGGTCAGCCCGTGGAGGAGGACACGACTCCCTGAGCCTCCTGAGGGCCCGAGGATTCATGGCGGAGCAGCAGGTCAGCAGCAGGGGTGGGGATGGAGGAGCTGGGCCTGCCAGGCTGGGGGTCCCCGCTGCTGCCAGTGTCTGCACAGGGGCCCTCTCTGTCCCTGGGCTTGTTTCCCAAATGCCCACCACATTCGCTGGCCTCTGCACCTCCGCCCTGTCCCTGGGTGGCCCCCAGCTCAGCCCACATGCCCAGCCGCCTGCTCTCTGTCCTAGGAGAGGGAGCGGAAGTCCCCAGCCATCAACTTCCACCACACCCCCTTCGCAGAGGGGAAGAGCCCCCTCCAAGCCTACTGCGAAGCTGAAGGCGTGACGGTAAACCCTGCTCCCTCCCACCCCTGCACTATGTGCCACAGCCCCCACCCCAGCCCCACAACCCCCTCCTCTCCAAGCCCCCTTGCCGCGGGCACTCACCTCCTAGTGTCCCTCTCTGCCTCTAGGACATCCTGGTCTCGGAGCTGATGAAGCAGCTGGACATCCTGGGGGATAACGCCGTAAGTGTATGTCGCTCTCCTGACTTGTGCATGCCTCCTCGCGCCAGTCCCCACCCCATCAGACCTCCAGTGTCCAGGGACCCCCGTGAGTCCCGCTGCCGGTCTGCCACGGCTGCCCTGCCTGCCTGCACCCTCCCCGAGGCCACAGCTGCTTGGGGCAGCCCCTGGAATTTGGGAGGAGTCCTGCCCCATTCTCATGTTCCTGCACCCAGCTGGGTGGTGACTCACCCAGAAGCACGGGGTTCAGGGCCTCTGCTCTGCCAGGATGGTGAGCCCTCTGCTGCGCACACCAGGGTCCGCTGGCCATGATGCTCCTGGCCGTATGTTCTCAGTTTCTGGAATGCTGGTCGGTCTTTAAGCCTTTCCACACCTTGGTGGGGGTGGGGGCGGGGGTGGGGGCGGGGATCCTTCCAGTGCCTTAGATATCCCAGGCTCTTAGCGGTTCCCACGTCCTTGGTTTTGGGGGAAGGGCAGAGACCATAAATAATCTGCAAATCTCATTTAGGGCACCATTCCAATTTCTTGAGCAAACTCTCAAAGAATACTGATTACTGTGTGACTGTGCTGCTTCCTCCTCCATCCATCCCTTCCTCCCTCCCCCCTCTACCCTCCAACGTCATCCCTCCCTCCATCCATCCATCCTTCATCCTTTGTCCATCCATCCTTCATCTTCCATTCTCCCTCATCCATCCGTCCACCCTCCATCCATCTCCCATCCGTCCATCCATGCACTCGTCCTCCATCCATCCATCCCTCATCCTCTACGCACACTCCATTGTCCATCTCTCCTCTCTCCTTTGTCCATCCATCCTCCGTCCATCCTCCCATCCCTCACCCTCCATCCACACTCTATCCTCCATCCCCCCCACCCTCCCACTCATCTTCCATCTGCCCTTTGTCCATCATCTTCTACTTGTTGAAGCCCTGCCCAATGAGCAGCTCAACTGTGCTAGAAGCAGCCCCACTGCACCACCCAGAACTTCTTTTTCTCCAAGGTGTACTAATAAGCAGAGGCTACAGCAGAGTCCCTGTTGACAGGGACACTTCTCTCCTTGCCCACACTTTCCAGAGGGTGGGGGAAGGCTCCGCTGGTGGTATCCACCCCTCCCCCAGACCCCCGCTCCATCTGGGCTGTAGGCTGTAGAGGCATCAGCCAATAGCCAGGATGGGGTCCTGCCCTGAGTTTTCAGGCCCCGTCGCAGGGACCATACTGGTTAACCTTCTGATTCACAGCTGGAGAAACTGAGGCCCAAGAGGACACCTGCCCAGGGTCCTAGAGCAGATGTAGGAAGAGCCTCGCTCTGTCCAGTTCAGTTCAGGGCCCCTCCCCAGCCTTGTAGCTCCCTACTCAAGAGCTCCAATGGGCTCTGATGGAGCCATCAAGGGGCCTCAGAGCATGGAGACAGAGGCTTTCGGGGACTGGAGGACACGCCTTCAGGTTTTACGCTCAGGGGACCCTGGGGAAAGCTTGGCACTTCCTACTGATGGGCCTGGAGGCTGTCCCTATCCCTTCAGTGGTCACAGGGGGCATAATGAGTGTGCTTCGCAAGCACCCCATGCCCGGGGGCTATGCCCCGTGGAGCCTGAGCCCGGAAGTTCATTCCTGGAGCTTGCCGCGGCCTGGCTCATGAGGCAGGCAACAAAGATAGCCCGTCCCCTGCTGCCTTCACAGCCAGTTCTGTGGCTGCCATGCACAGCCTGCCCCAGAGCAGCCCGCGGCCTCCAAACTGGCTGTGGGTGTGCCAGAACCCCAGACCTCAGGAGGCAGGGCCCTTGGAGTTGAGCAGAGGTTGGCGGGGCGGAGCGGACCCCCATCCTCCCTGGCAGAGCACCCCTCCCCGCAGCTGTACCTGGGCGGCAGAGGGATGGGTCCCCGGGGGAGGGCAGAGCAGACGGTATCTGCCTAGGTCAGGGCCTCGGGACATCATCACCTCCTGGCCAGGCTGCTCACCCAATGGTGAGCCCCTGAGCCAAGTGCAGCCATGTTCTAGTAGGTTCTCCCTGAGGCCACTTGCTCAGCCCTCCCTGGTCCCTGTCTGCGTTGGGGAGGGAGCACACTGGCCCCTGAGGGGCTCCCCAAGAAGCAGGCAGTGTGAGGAGCACCTGGCCAGCCCAGCTCCGGGCTGAGTGTGGGTACACTGTGCCCCAAGGGCAGAGATTGCCTCTGTGCCTACAGCGTTTGGTCACCGTCCCCGCCTTGGCTGACTGCTACAGGCCTAGGGGACAGTGAGACACCCCTGCCCTTGGGGGCCAAAGTTCACAGCCCAGACGGAGGGCTTTCTGAGCAGACAGGTTCTGGGCTCTAGGGTGGTGTCCCCAGCTCTGTGATCCAGCAGACTCTGCCTCCTCTGGTCTCTGATTCCCATGCTCCCCACCACCGCCCCCAAGTTGGGCCCTGCGGCGGGCCCTGACAGCCTGGCTGCCACCCAGCTGCTGACGCAGGCAGCGGTCATGGTCTGAGTGAGTGAAGGGCTTGTAGCCTCCAAGGATGCTCATTGGTCCCAAGGCCAGACTCGGCCAGAGACCACCCAGGTGGGCCCCTGGAAGAGGTATGAACACACCATGCCGAGAAGAGACAGAGACCCCAGGGCTGGAGCCATCCAGCGGGCTTCAGGCATTAACACAGCCTGCACGTGCGGAGAGCCGGCTTTCAACCAAGGTGTGGGCCAGGGACAGTGGGTGTGTGTATATCGCCGCTGCCCTGCACCCCCCTCGCCCTCCCCTCGCCCTCAGCGGGCCACCTACAGGGTCCTGGTCACCAGTCCTGGGGCGACAGGTGGGGGCAGAACAGAGAGAGCATATCAGAGTCAAGTCAGGGTCAATGGGGTAGAGAGTAAAGGGCATTCAGGACCCCAGGAGGTCATTTCACTCAGAGTGACCTAACCTGTGGCCCCAGCCCCTGCGCCTCTCCATCAGGTTCACTTCATGCCCTCCCACGCACCCTCCCTGCCCGGCACCCCCAAGCACCCCCCGCCAGGCACCCCATGCACCCCTCACCAGTACCCCCGTGCACCCCACCAGGCCCCCCCGCCCTCAGTATTTCAGTCTACTGCCTCGGCAAGCCCCCCCCGACTGTCCCCATGTCTGCTTCGGTGCAGAATCTGACCAATGAGGAGCAAGTGGTCGTCATACAAGCTAGGACCGTCCTGACCTTGGCTGAAAAGGTAACAGCATCTGTGTGGCCGCTCTTGGAACAGGGCCGGGGCAGCTGGGAGAGGGGCCGTCCCCGGAGGAGGGACTCCTGGGCTCTGCGGGGGAGTCATTGAATCCTGTTGGCCTCGGGAGGTCCCGCACATGCAGGGGTCAGACCCACCATCCCCTCTGCGGGGAACAGATCAGTCAGACTTCGTCTCAAGACCCACTCTGCCTCAGTTTCTCCCTCTAAAGGTCAGGCAGTGGAATGGGTCTGTATACCACTGGCTTTCTGTTCACCCACCAGAACCCTCCCCGGGGGGTGCCTAGCCAACCTGGGCTTCTTCCCCAACAGGGCAGCCAGTCCCTGACCCCCAGCCCCCCAGCCAGAGCCTGCCCGGGAGGCCTGCTGTCAGCAACTAGTCCTGGGGCCCCCAGCAGGAAGGGGAGAGGGAGTCCTGGCAAGCAGGTGTGCAGGGCATGGGATTGAGGGAAGACCTCTGCTGGCTGAGCGCTCTGTCCCCTGTCCCCACCGAACCCCTGCTCACACCCCTTCTCTCCCTGGCGAGGGAGGGACAGACCTTCTGGACAGCACGTGGGGGTGTCTGGACGCTGGGCACCCGGAGCTCGCCATGCCAACCCAGCCCCCACTCCCAGGCTGCCCGTGGCACCTGGGGGACGGTGGGATGGCTTTGGTGCCTGCATGGCCACCTGCGAGGTCACCCTCTCCTGCTCTTCCGGTTTGTGTCCAGTGGCTCCAGCAGATTGAGGAGACGGAGTCGGCCCTGCACCAGAAGATGGTTGACCTAGAGAGTGAGAAGGTCGGTGGGTGTCTTGCCTTGTGTGTGCAGCACGGCGACAGCAGGTGGATGCCCGGGGCTGAGGCGCAGGCGCCCTTGTGTTTCAGGAGCTGTTCAGCAAGCAGAAGGGCTACCTGGACGAGGAGCTGGACTGTAGGAAGCAGAGCTTGGACCAGGCTCACAAGGTGAGGCAGGCGCGCCCACCGCTTTGGCAGGGGCGGGCTGCAGACGCGGGGGAAGCGCTCCCGCTGGCCGCTGTCGCTCAGGGCCTGGGTCCAGCGTGGCCGCCGTGGGGTCAGCCTCCGCACTCCTCCCTGAGTGCTGAGGCCCAGGGGGCCTAACTGCTCTGGCAGCAAACCCTTCGCCCGTGAATGTGGAGCTCACAGGGATCCCTAAACGAGTTGAGAAATAGGATTCATGGACACATAACATGTTTATAAATTAATCGAACACGGTTGACCGTTCGTAAGAAGCGTTCTCTGGGGCTTCCTGTGTGTGTCCCTGCTACTCCGAGGAAAGTCCATGCCTGTCTGCACGCCTGCCTGGCCCGTGGGAAACACTCGCCCCGCTGAAAAACTCATCCCAGCTTGCGGTTAGCGCAGAGATCTGGGAGTCCTCGTAGACACACCTGCGCCGCGGGAGGCAGTCCTCACTGACACGGGTTTGACAACGAGAAGTCCCATCAGCGCCTCAGGCTGCCTTGTGTCAAGAGGGTGAACTGAGACCTGGCACCACATCCTTGCTGCTCTGATTAGTCTGGCCAAGGGGCACCACGGGGGGCTTCCTGGAGGAGGGACGCCCACGCTTCTTCCCAGCGGTCAGTTACACCCCGCGTGCGTGCTGCCTCCCGGCATGTGCTTCCCGGCCTACCTTGTGTCCCTCTGGACAGCCAGTCCTTGAGGTCAGGGCATGTCTGGAACCAGCTCAGGGAAAGCTTCCAGGGGCCCTCGTAAGGCGACAGGGACGCCTGAGGCCAGGGATGTCCCTTGTGGTAAGTAGAGGTACGAGTGCCCACCTTCTGGAGTGTTAGCAGAGTGAGGTCACTGTGTGGAGAGTGCGTGGGTCACCAGCAAGTCCTACCCAGCCGGGAAGCTGACGGTGTGATGTCTCCATTAACCCCATCAGGCCCATGCAGGTGCCGGTGCTGGTGCTGGCAGCCCACTCACCAGCCAGTGGCAGTGGGACACCTGCGGGACACCTGCAGGCACGGCCACAGAGAAAGTGGTGGAGGGCAGTGGCCTCAGAGAGCCGAATGGGCACTGATGGACCTTCCCAGAAATATGGGCCACGATCCCTGTTTCCAGTCCACGGTGCTGGGTGGGAAGGATACTAGGGAGCAGCCAGACGCCCATCCCCACCGCCGCTCCCTGTGCTCTATTCCTGCAACCCAGACTCAGGCATGGAGGGGACATCTCACCCCTGCGCCCTGGGCGTTCCTCAGGGCACAGCTCAGGAATATGTGCATCGGTGCCGGAAAGACAGGCCAGTGTGGGAGGCAACAGAGTGGGCTGTATGTCTCACATGTGCACACACAGACACACGTGCACACCCACACATGCACGTGCACACATGTACACACACGCACGCACACCCACACATGCGCATGTGCACCCCAGAGAGTGGGGTGCCCTCGGGGGGCTGCAGGGCTGCAGACACCTGCCCGGGCTTCACCTCCTCCCTGCTCCGTGGACACAAAGTTGTGGCAGAGTTTTGAAGGGGAAGTGAAGGTCCCCACACATGGGGGCCACTCTCAGGGAGCTGCTGGCTCCTGCAGGTGCCCTCGGGTGGCGCTCTGCTGGGGGGAAGGCCGCTGCCCCTCTCTCATTTCCAGCTTTGTGTGAAGCCTTTGTGGTGCCAGCACTAAACACCCCCACCTGCACGATATTTGCTTGTAAATGCCTGAGCATCTCCCAGCCGCCTGAGCTCTTCAGCTGTCCTGTCCGGAGGGGCTGACCTGGAGTGTGAGCTGGTGGTGACAGCTGGGGACAGTTTACTTTGCAGCTGTCCAGACCAATAAAATGTGAGGCTCCAAGGGTTTTTTTCATTCCCCAAAATGTCCACGAAACCTGAAAGCACTTTTCATAATCATTTTGCCTGAGGAAAAGACCCTTCACTTCTGAAGAGGTTACATTTTTGATGGGAGGTTGGGTTTCTGTAGCGTAGGAATTTGGTTTTTTCAAAGATTGTTCAGGAAAATCTCCAGAGGAAAAAGCTTTACAAGTGTTCCAGATCCGACTGGTAAATCCCTAGGAATTTATACCAAGGTGTGCATTTAGTCCGCTGAGCTGCAGAAAACGGGTCCTTCTGCATTGGTTCATGGTGGTTTCTTTTTGAGAGGGCAGGGGGGTGAGCCCCATGCCCCATGCAACTCTCTCCTTGTCCCCAGGGCCCCCCAGTGGCCGCTGTCTGGCCCACGCACCCGCGGCCCCTGCTCGGCTTCCCCCATCAGCCTCAGCTTCAGCCCCGGCCTGGAAGCCCCAGGGTCCGGCCCCCTCTCAGCCGGTCAGCTTCTCTGCTTCCCTCAGGTGTTCTCGCGGCAGAAGATCTGTGGGACTACGGGTCCTTCCCCAGAGGTCTGCAGTGGGCGCTGTGGCCCCTAGCTGTGGGGAATCACATGTTTGGGGACCAGCAGCATGAGGCATGATGGGCTCTCTGTGTCTGAGTCCTCAGGGGTGGGTTGAGGCCTGGACTCCAGAGCCCCCTGCAGGGTCTGGACCCCAGCTGTCCCCAGCAGGACCCCATGCACATTGTCCGAGCCCACTTGTCTCCCGACCTGGGGCCAATAAGAACAGTTGCCTTGGGGAAGGGGTGGGCACTGGACAGCTCTGCAGGGCTGGGGTCCTCTCCCAGGCTGCGCAGGGCACACCAGGCCCAGGGGTACAAGTTCTCGGGATTCGGAGAGTGGAGGTGGTAACATGGGCACACAGGGCCCTGCGGCCAGCAAAGGTGAGGCCATGTCCAAGGCAGTGAGGAGCAGCCGAGAGGAAGGGCCGCACTCCCAGAGCCCAGAGGCTGGTCTCAAATGCAGTGTGGCAGGACGCGCTCCCTCTGAGGCCGCAGGGGGGTCCTTCATGCCTCCTCCGGCTCCTAGGGGCTCCAGGTGTGCCCAGCCTTTGTCTCTTCACATGGCTTCTCCCCCATGTCTTTTGTGACTGCGTCCAAGTCCCCTCTCCTTGTAAGGACACGAGCCATTGGATCATTGAATGCCCCCCCCCATCCAGCATGATTCCACGCTAACGTGAAGACAGCAGCAGACACCCTAGTTCTAAATATTGAGGCCACAATATGAGATCCAGGGGTCAGGACCTGAATATATCTTCTTGGGGACATGATTGACCCACCATGTGTGGCATGGAGGACCACAGAGTGGCCCGGCCTCCCCTGGGGAGAGGCTAGAAGTCAAGGCCCTCCCACACTTCTGTCCTTACATCAGACAGACCCCTGTGAGCACTGCCGTTCTTCCTTCTGTGGGGCTCGTAATTCCAGGGTTTGAGGAAGGCCGTGAGCAGGGGAAGACGCCTTCCCTCTGCTGCCCATTCCTCCGGCCCCCTTGGGGCCGTCCCCCTACTCTGGCTTCGAATATCTGCTTACCAGCTTTCCAGATATTAGTGTGAGCTAAGACTCTACCTCCAAAGTTTTGGTGCACGTGTCAAAGCCCGTGTAGAAGTGCACGCTCTCGCGGTAATGACTCCTGGGCTGGGTGTCCACTCCGCAGGTCGTGTAAGCCGGCCGAGGAGAAAACAGCGCCCGCTGTGGGGTGGCGTGGAGGCGCTGGCACCCCCAGGAATCACGGGGTTCCCTTTGGCCAGCAGGCCAGACTGACGTGTCCCCTCCCACCCTAGCACATCCTGGAGTTGGAAGCCATGCTGTACGACGCCCTGCAGCAGGAGGCCGGGGCCAAGGTGGCCGAGATCCTGTCGGAGGAGGAGCGTGAGAAGCTCAAGGCGGCGGTGGAGCAGTGGAAGCGGCAGGTGATGAGCGAGCTGCGGGAGCGCGATGCCCAGATCCTGCGCGAGCGTATGGAGCTGCTGCAGCTGGCCCAGCAGGTGCGCGGGGGCGGGGCCGGCGGGGCGGGGCCGGCGGGGCGGGGCCGGCGGGGCGGGGCCGGCGGGCGGGGCCCGGGAGGGGCTGGGAGCTTCGTGGGCGGAGTCCCACGGCCACGCCCCTGGGCCAGCCCCCGGCTGCAGTGGCCATGCCCTCCCACGACAGGCCCATGAGCCACTCTGCCTGCCCCGTCAGACCAGCCTCTGGCTGGCACGTCCCCTCTCTTGGGACCGCTGGCTGCGAGGTTTCTACAGTGCCTCCTCCTTCGACGCCAAGGGCATGACTAAAGCGTGGTCTGGGAACCGCCTCGTGGGCGGGAGCTGACCGTAGCCTTCTTTTGACCTTGGGCACTTTAGGACTTCAGGCTAATCCAGCTGGTCCCCTTCTAACAGCAAGTGAGGGACCCTGGCGCACTGGACAGCCTCTGCTCCCCCGCGTGCGCCCGTGGGGCCCGGAAAAGCCTTCACAGAGGTGTTCCGTGTTCAGAGCGCCCCAGATACATGGCCCCACTTGCCAAGTCACATAAGCTAGTGACCCCGGCGATACTGTGAATGTTAGGGTAGTGTCTGACCAGAGCACCAGTCCGCTGCCGGAGCACTCGCTGCGAGACTCAGGTGGTCAGTGTGGGGACCGTACCTGGGGGCCGTCCTTGCCATCAGACAGGCTGCTTCCAGGGTCCAGGCTTCCAGGTCCAGTGAGGACGCGTGAATTTGCATCTTGTGGGCCTGGTCTACCAACGGGAACACTAGGGGCGTCACCTTTGCAAGGGGGCTCCTCCTGGGATGGCTTCCTGACCTTGTGGTGGCTTCATGCTGCTGGTGACATCTGGGAAGGGTGTGAATCGGTTTCTGGGGTGTCCAGCATATTGTTTCTCATCTGAAGTTGTAGGGGTGGGAGGAGCACAGCAGCTGACTGCAGAAAGCTGTGTCCATCAGGGAAACCGAGGTGAGCCACGCCGCTGCCCTGCTCTGCCATGGCTGCCGGCGGTGTGCGGTCTCGGACAGAGGACGGTGCCGGCTGGCTGCGGCTCTGCGGCTTGTCCGCCGTGTAAACGGACGAACGCCTTGATTTCCCAAATGCTCTGATCAGTGAAGATTCCTCCTTCACCATTGCAGAGAATTAAAGAGTTAGAAGAAAGAATAGAAGGTCAGAAGAGGCAAATAAAGGAGCTGGAGGAAAAGGTAACACGCATGTGTGTTTGGGCTCTGTTTTGTGCATGGGGCAGGGGAGGGTGCCGGTTCGCGTGCTCCCAGCCGTGGGGTGATGGTGAGCAGGAAGCCGAGCTGCCTCGCAGGGGCTGCGTCTCTCCCAGACTCAGTCTCCCCGGCTGCAGCCGTGGGAACTGGGGCCCGCAACCTAGGGTCCTTGTGGGGCTGGTGGTCGTGCCAACCTGTGGGATTCCTCCACGCTCATCAAGCAGTTGGTCTAAAAGTTCCAGAAACGCCGGCTTCTCTTCTTGAAAGCAGGTCATCTGTCCAACACCAGTCTCTGGTTTCTGGCCCTTAATGCACCTGCCTTGGGGTTTAGGACACTCAGGGGCTGGCGTACAGGGAGTTGGGGGCCTGGGGCAGACCAGCTGGCTCTTTTCCTGGACCCCCAGCCCTGTCAGGCGTGGAGTCGTGGGCGCTCTGTCCACTCAGTCCAATTCCGTGCTCCCCAAATCGAGGTGCCTGGAATGTGCCTGGAGGGAACCCTGTCTCTTTCCATGGGGTTTGCTTAGTTTAGGGGCCGTTCTTTCTCTGTGACTTAGGGTTGTTTTCATATCTCCGAGGTCACACTGATGTTTGCTTAGGATCTCACCAAATGACGGGCTCCGCACTGGGCACTGAGCAAAGTGACCCATGGAGCCACTGCCCTGCCTTGTCTCTTCTGGAAAGAGCAGGAGGCCACTGCTTGCACGGGCGCTCTGTGAGCTGCGCGGCCCAAGGAGGAGGCCACAGAGGCCCCGTGCCCACGGGGGAGAGTGGCCCCTTACAGAGGTCTCCCAGCACACCCCACCCACCCCTGCTACCCAGGGACAACACCTGCCCCTTCCCTGGGCCCTTTACTGTCATCTGCCTGGCGGTCGTCACGGTGACTGTGTAACCTCGTGGTGCCAGTGAGTGCCCGTGAGCTCCCGTGAGCAGCCCCCAGACCTGTGCAGGCTGGGAAACAGGGAGGTGTTCCTGCAAACAGGATTTGTGGCCCTGTGGACGCCGATGCGTGGGGAAGCCTCCACCAGGCCCGGAGGGGCGGGACATTGTTCTCAGGGTCTCTCCCCGCACATGAACCTATTTCCCTTTGCATCTTCACCTGAGAACATTTGTGTGCGCTCCACTTGGATTTTAAACAAATCCAACGTGTCTGTGCCGCTGTCAGAGCTCCTCCCGCATCTGAGTTGGCAGCCCCCCTCCCCAAACCCCGGGTGAGGTTTCCAGGCCGCATCTCTACAGGCTGCTCGCTCTTTGCCGCTTACCATGGGACGGGGACGACGTCTTGTCTGGGTGCTGGGTTTGCCCAGCCCTCGGAATGTCTTCCCACAAGACGCCGTCCTCATCTTCCGCCGGCAAGGGTCCTGACCAGCACCTCCGCAGAGGAGGCAGCACAGGCGGCTGGTGGGGGCGCGTGTGCGGGGCGCGGGGTGCACGGTCCTCACGCACCAGGACCCACGCACCAGGGTCCGCTCCCGTGCCTGGTGGAGGCACGTCTCGTTCTGTCTGTGATCGCGGCCTTTCTCGCCAGAGCTCTACAAACTCTTTTTCTCTCTTTCTCCCTCCATGTCTCTGCCCCCCACCCCCGCCCCTTTTCAGTTTCTATTTTTGTTCTTATTTTTCTCCTTAGCTTTCATTCTGTGGTCATAGCGCGCCTGGCCCCGACACGGTGAGTATCTCATCAGCTGGTGCCACCGGCGAGGGTCCCGTCTGCCCCCAGGGGCCCTTGGGGCCCCCGCACTCCAGCAGCCCAAGTGCCGTTGGGAGCCCCAGACGAGTCCAGAGGGCTGTTCCAAATCCAGGGCCAGGATTCGGGGTCGGTCAGGGGGCTTGAGGGCACCTGCCTCTCTCGAGGGGGCAGGAGTGTGGAGGACCCCTCACGAGGCACCGAGCCCACGGCAGAGGCGTGCACACACTCGGCTTCCCTGCTTATGCGGCCTTGGCAGAGGCGGTGCTGAAGAGCACAGTCCTCTTGCCTTTCTCGTCCTTTTCCGCTGGTGCTGAGGACAAGCTGGGCTGACTCTGAAGAGCCCCCAGAAATGCCCGGGCTTCCACGACGCGCGGGTCTCGTTCACAGACGTGAGACCAGCCGCCCAGTCGCCGCGTCATTACTGTGGCTTTAGACCAGGGCCACATGCTAGTCCTGACCCCTGCTCCCTTCCAACGTAAGAGGAGAGGACCAGCAGCCCTGGCCTCACCATGCTGCCCAGCCCATGGCCTGCCCTTCCAAGGGTGTCTGAGGGGCTCCCTGAGGGGCAGCAGCATACTCTCCTGTTCCCCAAACCCACCCGCACCCTGTCCCTCCAGCCCCATCCTCTCCAGAGAACCCTTTCCGACATGTGTCCCGCATCTTGTGTCTTCCAGCCCCCAGAGGAGCCAGACCCCTTTCCTCCAGCGGGACCAGAGGCCAGCAGGGGCCTGGGCAGCAAAACAAGATGCCACGTCCCATCCCTGAAGCCCCAAGAGGATCTGGTCTCTGGGGACCCCGTCCCGTTGAGGAAGAGGGAAAAAGGGGGGCTTTGAGCACCTCTGAGTGGGCACCGGTCCGCTCTGCTGATCCAGACTCAGAACTTGTTTCTTGACTGGGGCTCCTCTGGGAGCAGCCTGATCCTGGCTGCTGGACCCTGGGTCCCCCTCGGGACACAGCCTCCTGATCCCAGTGACAAGGATGCACACGTTCCCTGCTGAGCAGGTGCTGAGAGCTGCTTCTGTGCAGGGCCGCCCACAAGCCGACACCCCCCCCCACCCGCTCCTCAATCGCGCACAAAGCTCAGACGAAACCATCGGGAAGAACACAGGCAGCCCAGAGAGGACCCAGGGAAGACTGTGGCCACGGCGGTGACCTCCATCCAGGGAAGCCCAGGTGGGTCACAGGGCACCTCCGAGGACGGCTTCCCCTGGTCCCGCAGGTGGCCTGTGAAGACCCGCTCGCTGGGTCCTGCGCACCTGCTGGCCGACGTCCCTGCCTGGTTTGAAGATGTTGTTGCCTCGGGAGCTGGCGTGACTCTTGCACGTACCGTGCCATCACCGGCCGCTAACCCGCCCTGAGCCGCATGGAGGAACGCGGTGGAACTGACCAGAGACTGAGGAGCATGACGGTGGGAGGTGGGACGAGCGAGCGCCCCAACCCACTGGAGAGGGGCCTGGCTTTCCTGGAATGCAGAGCCCCAGGCCCTGTGGGCCCTGGGCACCTGGCTCACTGCCCCCCACAACCACCTGGAGGCCGTGAGCTGCAGACAAGCTGAATGGGGCTCGAGGGCCACGCCCACGCGAGGGCAACCATGCACCTGGAGTCCTGCGGATATGACAAGGGAGCCCGACATCCAGGTGGGGAGCAGGTGAGTGCCCTGGTCCATCTTGGAGACCCATTTTCCCTCTCCACTGTTTGGGATCCTTGTCAGTCTGCTGGGACCTGCCCTGCAGCGGGAGCCCTGGGTGACTGTCCAAGCCCACTTCTCACCACCACCCTGGACCAGAATCTGCTCCCTGATCGGGGGCGTCCCTCTGTGGGCTCCTTAGGGGCCCTCATGGGCTGAACCTCTGTGGGCTCCTTGCCCAGATCCAGGACACTTCCCCCAGACCTCTGAGCTTCCCTGAGTTTCAAGGTTCAAGGGTGGCCTCATCTCCCAGCAGGGAAGAACTGTCCCAATGAGCTCCAGCCCCTGTGGGGTCTGCTGGCCAGCCCTGCCCACCCCGAGCCCCCAAAATTCCAGGAAAGGGACGTCTCCTTTTCCTGAACTGTGGCCCCCAGGCCCCCTCCCCTTCAGGCACCGTCCGGAGTTTGGCCTCCTGGCCCCTCACTCCTCTCCCTGCCTGTCCCCCACCCTGCCCCCCAGGCTAGAAGGCCACGGGAGGGTTGGGCCCAGGAGGGGTGCTCCAGGGCTGAGGCCTCTATTTCCAGCAGAGTCTCCTGAGTGAGGTGTTGCTGGAGGCCAAACCGTCCACGTGTCCTTGACTGCATGTCGGCCATGGTGGCCCCACACGGGGCTGCGGATGCCCCAGAGCTGTGAGCAGGTCCTTCCTGCAGGGGGATCTAGAACCAGGAGAGCAGAGACTCTGGGAGCAGGTGCTGGGCAGATGCAGCTGCCCTGGGGAACAGGGCCTTCAGGCTGGCCCTTGGTGGCCTCAGGACCTAGATGGGGCTCCCGGGGAGCACACACTGGGGTGCCCTTCCTTCGGGGCTGGCAGAGTGCAGCGGCAGCAGCAGACACACTGCAGGGCTGCCCCCTTGTGGGTGTCAGAAACCCCTAACAGTGTGCAGGCCCGGAGGGAAACACGCCTCCCCTCTGCCCAGCTGCCCGGGCTTCAGGGGGAGCATTCTCGAACAATCACCAAAGTAGGGACAAATGTCTGAGACGGGGCACCAGTCTGGCCCCCAGTCTGGAGATAGGGGCTCCGACCGCCTGCCAGGCCGTGCGCGGGACCCTGGGGCCAGCTCTTCCTCTGACAGCCGGGGGCAGCCCCAGGGCCACGGCCGAGAGCAAGCACGTCCATACGTTGTAGCACGGGTGGCGCTACGCTTGATCTCTGGGTGATGGCAGCGCCTGCCGGGCTCTGCCACTGCGGTGTCCCAGCCGGTGACCACGTGGGGAGAGGCCCCGGAGGCCGCAGACGTCCTGTTTCTCCACAGGCTTTTGGGCACTGAGCTTGGCACCCCTCAGCAGCCTTTGTGTGGCCGTGGTGGCCGCCAGGCCCTCACGGGTTTCCTGGGCCCCCGTCGCTGCCGTGTTCTTCCATTCTCTGAAGAAGACCCGTCCCTGTCCTGTCGTTCGTTTCTTTGTCTGGTTATTCGTGCCAGTACGACTTGGGCACATTTACTTTACTCTGCGGGCTACAGCCCAACACCGTCACTCGTTACCTTCCTGGCCTGAGCCGTGGAGCATGTGTTCATGTGACTCCCGTGTCCCCTTGACACGCCCTGTCTTTTGAGTGAGCACGTTCCTAATTTCTGCCACCTCAGGCTGGGCTTGTGGTGTCCCTGCCCCAAGGAGTGCCTTCCTCCTGTTGCAGGATGGTGTTTAGGAACTGTCTTCGCTGGGTGCTGGATGTGCCCCTTGCCCTGGGGCAGGGGCTGCGGCACTATCTCTAGGCCGACTTAGGGGAGGAGCATGGGCGTCCTCAGGAACACGCACACGCCTATGCATATTTCTGCGTCCATCTGTCGGTCTACCCTCCATCTGTCCGTCTATCATCTATCATCCATCTGTCCATCTGTCTATCATCTGTCCATACATCTGTCCATCATCCATCCATCTATCCATCTGTCCATCTGTCCATCATCCATCTGTCCATCCGTCCATCTGTCCATCATCTATCCATCCAACCATCTGTCCATCCATCCATTCATGCATCCATTCGTTATCCATCCATCTATCCATCTGTCCATCATCTATCCATCTGTCCATCCATCATCTATCCATCTAGTCACCTGTCCATCGGTCTGTCCATCATCTAGCCATCCATCTACCGGTCCCTCCATCCATCTGTCCATCATTCATCCATCCATCCATCCATCTGTCCATCCATCCATCCATCTGTCCATCATTCATCCATCTGTCCATATGTCTGTCCATCATCTATCCATCCATCCATCGTCTATCTATTTATCCATCTATCAACCATCTATTTCTCATCTGTTATAAAACTGTGAGTTCATAACTGATACGTCCAGTTCCAGGCTAACAAGTCCAGATCCAGCCCCCCCATCATCTGTGACCCCTTTTGGCTCCCACTGTGCTCAGCCCCAGTGTAACGTGGAGCAGCTTCACAGCCGCTGGCTGCACACCCTGTGGGGACATCTGCCAGCTCGGGTGACCCCGTGCATAGTCTTTACTCTTCAGCCTGTGGCATCCAGACAGATACTGTTTTCCGACGTGACTTGGCTCAGCTGTCTTCTCCCCCTTCTCTCCCAGTGTGGCTGTGCCGCCCATTTGTCCCCGCTTGTGTTCCTGTCCCCCTTCCCCACATGCTGACTTTTGTTTTGTTTACACTCCGTAAAGTTCACTGTCCGGGCCGTGCAGTTCTCTGGGCTTCGGCACATGCGTGTGCCACCCACAGTGCTGATGCAGGACTGTTCCACCAGCCTCAACTCTGTCTCGTGTCCCCTGCAGTCACCGCTGCAGTCACCCCACGCTCACCCAACCCCTTAGTGTTGGACCGAAGAAAACTTTGCCTCATTCAAATCACTGGTGTTTTCTGCCACGTTTCCTTCTAGAATGGCATGGCTTGATGTCTGGCACTTACATCCAAGACTGGTTCCAAGTCCTTTTTTGCACACGGGGCATGGTCTGGGTCAAAGCACGTGTTTCTCCTGCAGCCATCCATCCCTTGCTCTGTCCAGCCCTTCATGAAGAGCTCTCCACAGATCTGTTTGGCTGGTTCAAGTCCTGTCCTGGCTGCAGTGTCCTCCCGAGCTCTGGGGGACAGAGCTGCTGACTGCTATCCATCTGTCCATGTGTCTGTTCATCATCTAGCCATCCATGCATCCATCCCCCCGCGCTGTGCTGGCCGTGCCTGGTCCCCGCTGGTTCCCAGGGTGGAGGCCAGATCTCCAGGGACCGTGCCTGCCCTGCTCCGGGTCTGCAGGCCGGACGTGTGAGACATTAACTGTCAGCAGACCCAGATTTATGGCTGCCAGTGAGCAGCTGCTCACTTCCCAAGCCTGGCGTAGATCGCTAACTCTGTGCAGCCTCCCAGGTGGGCCACAAAGGACGGCCATGTCGTTGTCCTTGAAATGCAGGGAGAAGCCTCGCTCGCTCACCGTCCGTCCACAGTGAACGAGCGTTGTGTGCGTATAGAACAAGAAACTGCATTTTGAAATCTGTCTATACTTGTAGATTTTCCATGATAACCCAGTGCCGTTTTCTTCTTCAGAGCGGCCCATTTACTGGTCCGTCGACAGAGCGAGGGGCAGGACAAGGTTCATCCGAGCGCGAGCAGGCAGCTCTCTGAGGCTTTTTGTCCCCGGGAGTGGTGGCTGAGTTTGGAGGGTCGCTGCTCTCAGGGGCTGCCTGTCCGTCTTGGGAGCAGGGACAGGGCCCCTGCCGAGGTAGGAGAGCCCCCTAGACACCTCGGCACCTGCTGTGCTCCCGCGGGACCCTCCCCGGGCCGCCAGCCCTGCCAGGGAGCGTGGTGGAGTTCGAGGTCGACCTCTACCCCAGGTGGACACGAAGAGGGAGGGACCGGAGCCGTCAGACGTGTGCCTGCCCAATGGTGGGTGAGAAGCCGGTGCGAACTCCCTTTTACGTGAAGCCACGGTGTGGCCACGCTTGTGTGTCACAATAAGCTCGCTAGGAGGTCACTGCTGGTGCGCAGAATTGGCTGGTTCCCGGACTGGTTCCTGCCCCAGTCTTGCCACGGGCCCCGGAGTGTCCCAGCCACCATTCTGTTCCCTGTGACCTCTGTGGACACACTGACTTCTAGGTCCCACCCCCGGCTCTTCCCCTGCCCCCTTCCCCCGTGGTGGCTGCCGTCCGGGTCCCGGCGCAGCGGCCCTGTGCGGAGCTTTGTGCCGGACGCCTGTGTTTGTCAAAGGCATCGTGTTGGGGTCGCGCGAGTCGCTATGTAGGGCGGCGTCACACGTTATGCGCTTTTGGACGCACTGTGCGCCTCCTGCCCTTGTGCTGAGAGCCACAGTTTGTCAGGCGTCCGCCGTGTCGCGACCTCCCTGGCACCTCCTGCCGGACGCCTGGGGCTTGCTCTTGGGAAGCTCGTGGGTGGGGAGAGCCTCTGCGCATCCACCT